TCTTAGCTGGGCATTTGGAGAGGTGGACATGTCGAACTCGTTCTCAGCTTGGAAGAACCTGGTGGAGGATAAACCACCACTGTACTTGAAGGTTCAACACCCAGAGTCACCCCCGCGCCATGATAAGGCGGTAGATTATCACGGAGGGATCAACCAATACCAAGTGAGACTGGAGCACTAGTAACTCCAACGAGACCTCTATACACCGAAAATCACTGTGCTTTTCGTTCGATGTTCGACAGCTTTCAACAAGGACATTGTTCCATTTCATGAAATTCGTAGAATATTCAATTATTATGAACTTGAACACCACAGTACATAAATATGACAATCTTTCTATGCATATGGTATAACAAAAAGGAGATCTGTCTGTAGTATAGCCAATCATCTTACCTCGCCCATCCCCCCTCCCCCTTCATTTCCATTAATAGCTTAACTGCAAGAAGCAACGGGATTACTGCTTTGAGCTTATAGGCAACTATTACCAGTAAAGGTAAGCATGTAGATTGAGTAAAATGAAAGTTTATGATGAAGAGGTTCAAATAACTTTGTTACTTACGATTATTTTCTTTTCAGCGTTATGCTGATTTAATAAAGAGCTGATATAGTTTTATCGAAATAGACTTACTCTGAAAGGATTTTGAAACCCTCGGCATCTAGTTCAGTTTGGTTACGCTTGTGATTCTTCAAACCCAACAAGTCACGCTTTCGAATCGACCTAACAAGATAAGAGGGTTCTAGCATCTTATCGGGTAGCTTGCATAATTACCCTTTTCGTGCGTCATTTTATCACTTTTTATGTCGTTCGTGCCAGTTATTGCTACAGAACTATCCATTCAAGAGTAGATTAATGGTTCCAATCATTTCTGCACGAACCGACTATATGATGTAATTTTTCTCTAACAGATTAGTAGGTCGAGATAGATTGTCATTTGCTAATTTCCGCTTAGCTATGCATTGTCCCTTTGGCATAGTTCCATTTTTTCTATATCTAGCCTGGAGAGAAAGTAACCATTTCATATCTCAGTACGAAACCGATTAGTGAAGATGTTGAACTTGTTGAAATGAAAGCAGCAAACCTTTCTCAAATTTCTGGAAGAAAACACTTTTTTGTTATTATTAACTTATTCCGCTATCCGAAAGACTAGCATTCTCGGTTCAAATCATCAGTTAAATTGCAGGAGTTTCTATGGCAGCTCGTTGCATTTATTTTGCAGCTATACTCGCCTATTGCCATGCCGCATCTCTTCAAGGTACTTCGTATGTTATATTATATAGTAGTAACACCCTTAGCGGCACTGTATACAGTTACGGAGCTGTAACCTTTCTAAAGTCAGCCAATCGGACCCACTATCTTCAAAGTTTCAACCTTTCACTGAGAGCATTTTGA